TCTTGCTTGTTAATTGGTATATTGTGCTTAATTTCTTGAATCAAACATGCCTAGAACAAAGACATCGACTAGGAGACCGGGTCGGGACGATGCATCCTCATCCATGGTTCCACCCACGGTGGACACCATGGGTATTGTTTTTAATAACTCGTCCTTTTTGGACAAATTTGTAGGATTATCCCACCGACCGATCCGGCCTACCAAGTTCTACGACCCTTTAGCCGCTAGGGCTTTCGGGATCGAAAGTGACATGGTTCAACTATTTTCATTTACCAACTTTGATTCTTTCCTTACCATGCATGCTCTCACTTACAAGAGGCTTACCCTCGAATTTTTGTCTTCTTTGTACGTGCATTGGGATGAGAATAACTCACCCCGGTACTTGTCCTTTCAACTAATGAACTCGGGCACCATTCAAATGTCGGTGGCCCAAGTTAATGCCGCCTTTGGGTGGACATCCGACCTGAAATATGGTCCTAAGGATGGCCACTCAAAACACTACAACTCCGGGTTGTTTTGGCGGCAAATCACGGGGAAAATGGATAGAGATCCCCGTAGGGATAAGGCGACTTACATCGTCAATCCCGCCTTTCGGTTGTCCCACAGGACCTTCTCCTCTACTATCTTTGCTAGAGGAGATAGTTCGGGTGTAGTCTCCATTAGGGAGTTACAGTTTATTTGGCACCTCACCCGTGGGGACGGGCGTCTAGACATGGGAGCGTGGTTACTAGACCACCTCGACGGTGTAGCCCGGGGTAGGGGTGATATTACTATCGGTGGCATGATCACCATTCTTGTGCAATATAATGGGATTGATTTTTCTAAATTGCAGGCTATCCCAGGCACTACGAGGCTTGATATGCGCACCTTGAGAGCCATGCAGTGGCTTGAAGGGACATCCCAGCCGGATTGCTATTTGTGGCTCGTAGCAGGCAAGCCATACGCCTACTTGCCCGATCCGGAGAGGACGGTGGTTTACAAAAAAGACAACTGGATCTTCGACCCCGACTTCGCCTGGCACGAGGACGGAGGCACGGAGTATGTAGACCGCAATCCCCAGCCTCACTAGGGGGATGAGCAGGCCCACGGGGGCCAAGGAGGTGACGATGCTGATGATGATGATGATGACGAGGAGGGTGGCCCGGATGCGGCCCAGCAGATCCCGGCGCAAGACTTCGCCTGGCTCTGCCAAGGAATGGAAGATTTGAAGCTTGAGGTAGCGGATTTGCGCCGGTCGAACGAGGATATGACCTCCGCCTTCAGAGACCTGAAGAGGAGTGTTGATGATATGGCCTCCCGTTTCCCTTATGGCCCGGGCGGGCCTAGCTCGTGATCCCTTTCCCTTTCCTTACTATTGTAAGTCCTTGATGTATAAACATTGAGGACAATGTTTGATTCTAGCTTGGGGGGGGGGGTCTTACTTGTATTCATTCTAAAACAAAAAAAAAAAAAAAAAAAAAGATTTACTGCTTTCCTAGACTAACCTTAACTTGTTTGCTAGTATGTCTTTCCTTTTTGCAGATTGGGAACATTCGAGACGCGGCATGAGTTTGAAGAACGATGCTATGGCCGTCAATTGGAGCTCCCGGGAAGCAAATTTGGTGAGATCTTTTTTTTTTTTTTGTGTGCTTAGGATAGTTTAGTTTAGGAAGAAGTTGAATGGTTCGAGGATGTTTGATCGGTTCTAAGGAACCTAGGATCGTTGATGTTGATATCATTCGATCACTTGTTTGTCGATTGGGATTTTATGTGATTTTTATGCCTCGTTATGTGCCTTTCAACTTATTCAGTTGGCTTAGTCGTACATATGTTTGTGTTAGATAGGAAAAGCTTCTGCTATGAGGATGTGTGGTTTAGCTTATATGATATGCCTCGTAGTCTTTTCCTATGTTTTTGGATCATAATAAACTTGTCTAATTGCAAAATTTTGGAATATTGTTCATGTTGGATTCGAAATGTGAATGAATGTGTATGGAATGTCTATTTCCTTTTAAGCCAGTGATGAATACACAGTTCGAGTCTATTGTTGATCAATGTGGACGAGTCTAGACGAAGGGTAGAAATAGAACACTTTTGTCATGTGAAACTCTATGCCTTTGGGCTGTGGTAAGATGGAGTCGCTTCCCGGTTGTGGATTTGACCCCCTTGATTGGTAGTTGCTTTATTTGTTAGATCCCGTGAGGTTTATTTGTTCTAGCCTTCATCATTATTGTTGAGTGGCATATTTGGATCCTTGATTACGCATTTTTCGATCTTTGTGTTGACTAGTAGCTCCCGAGACCGACTTGACACTTTTAAGGGAGGAAGAGGGCACCTTTTTCATTTTTCTTATTTTGTTCCTTTTGTTTTGTTACAAATTGATTTTCTTTTTACATCATCTTACTTGCTAACCATGTTGAGCTTTAATTCCATTCTTGGTTAACCGTGTTACAAACCCGATGGCCAATGTTTTACCAACTCTTAGTTGTGAAGCGTTTACCTAGATAGGTTTGTTGAGCTTATTGTTTACTAATCAAGAAATAAAGTTTGATAGTTGGTTTGAGCAGGTGTGAAAGTGAGCCTAATTGTAAATATGTAATGTGAAAGTCATTTTGCCATCAATAAAAAAAAAGAAAAAAAAAAAGAAGAAGAGAAAAGCCGTCCGAATTGTGAAAAAGGCAAGGACACATAAGTAAAGTTTTGAAGTTTGAAAGAGGTCATTTGAGTGTGTATTATATGGATAATTTGGGATGTGTAAGAATGTGAATCAATGAGATTGTGGAAAGTGAATTACATCTTTTGAACTATTGTTTTTGAGAATTGTGGTTCTTGCGCTTCATTTAGGAATTAACCCCACTTTTTTAAATTGTTTTCACCTACCTTACCCATTGCCAATACATTACAACCCTTTTAAGACCCTTAGACTTTAGAGGTGTTCGGTTCTCAAACGGTGGAGGGAGATACCTTTCAACCCTATGGAAATATTATGCGTAATCGAGATGTCGGGATACCTTTGTTATTTCCTCAAAACATCACTTCTTCCGGTTCCTTCGAGGAATCACGAGGGGCCAATTAGGGTGGTGATTTGAAGCAAAAGGGGAGGACGTGGCCGGTTTGGTCGGGTTTAGAGGGAAGCATGATTTCTTTGTTCTCTATGCTTGGTTTAGGTCTTGTTCGCATTTGATCAACGATATCTTGGATTGTGTGTCTCGTTGCTTGTTTGAGTGAGTTTTCCTTCCGTGCATGGTTGTTCTAAGTAGGATCCATTGATTTCATTCCGTGCTTAATTTGATTTGTTCGCAATGGCATAGTTTATTTGATCTTGTGTGTGTTTCCCTTGGTTTTTGCTCGAGGACTAGCAAAAGTGTAGCTTGGGGGGTTTTGACAAGCGCACTTTAGGGCGCGCTTTAGAGCATATTTTAGGATGATTTTGGATGTATTTGGGGCCTCTTTGGCCGATTATTACCTTGTTATGCTTAAGTTCCCCATATTACGTGCTTCACGGGTTTTCGGTTTGTTTTTGATGTGTTTTCAGGTAATATCAACCGAGTTTAATCGGATCCCGAGCCCTTGATGCGTAACCGAGCTAGCCTTGACCGGAGTCCGAGGAGTTAAGGAAGTTCAAGTGCCGTGCATTGATTACATAGCACAGGCAGCACGACCGTGTTACCATAGGCACACCCGTGCTGGCCTATAAGAAAGCAACCCCAGGCAAGGCAGCACGGCCGTGCAAGCCAATAGCACGGCCGTGTCAGTATCCACGCACCCGCACGGCCGTGCAGGCCATTAGCACGGCCGTGCCAGATGTTGCACGTGCCCGTGCCAGCTTCAGTATGAGCCCCGTGCTAGAGCATATTCAGCACGGTCGTGCCATTTTTAGCACGGCCGTGCCAGGAAGCTGCACGGCCGTGCCATATATAGCACGGCCGTGCCAATTTGAAGAAGAAATCCGGTTTACTTACTGACAAGCTAGCACGGCCGTGCCAAATACAGCACGGCCGTGCTGATCCAGGGTTAACTGCGCGCTTGACTTCTCCGCATTAGAAGACGTATATAAGGCCCAACTTTAAGAGGATTCCTCAGACAGTTTTAGAGATAGTTTTGAGAGCCTTTGTAGAGAGTTATTGGAGAACGTTCTTAGTATTAGAGATTCATTAGTTTTCTTAGAGATATTTCTAGAGATTTTAGTTTTCTTGGATTGATTTGAAGCAACATTTGCGAAGATTCTTTGTATTATTCATTGACGACGGATATCAAAGTTCTAAACTTTTCCTTTGATTCGCATCAATACAATTGGTATTATTCATTCTTGTTTATTAATCAAGCTTTATTATTCCTTAATCAGAATTCATGTTTATATCTATTATGCTTTTGGAATTCATTATTGCTTTGATTATGAATATGTGTGAGTAGTCTCCTAGCTAGGGTTTCGGGATGAAACCCGGCCTAGGTAATCTATGTAATTGAGGATTGATTTTGATAAACGGATTGTGATTAAATTGATTATATGCGATTGCATGTTAATTCATTATAATAGGAGTAGCTAACCTAGAATCTTGAATTTGATTGCATGATATTCTTGATTTGAACAAGAGATTGTGAATTGAGTATTTCATTATTGAATGTGGTTTGATTATGTATTGAGTAATGTTAAGTGCATGAGAAATCCAAGCTTAGTATTGCCCGTTGTCTTCCTATCACATGATATTGATCAGACTTATAGTCTTTTCATATCCCGTTTGTCTCTGTGATTCCTTGTTGCTTAGTTACCAATGGTTAGGCGGATTCCCGTTCTCCCTAGTGTCTTAGTTTATTGATTTATTTCATCTTATTAGTATTATTTTAGAACACCATTTTCCATTGATTTCGAACTAGCTTAGGTTTAAGATTTATTTGCAATTACTCTCGTTCCTCGTGGACCGAACCTTTATTGCCATTGTACTTGGTTATAGGGTGTTCGTATAAGTATTGTTTGATTGAGAGTTAGATTGTAGCGACCGATTTAACCCTTGTCACCTGCCCTCACCATGGCTCTCCTTCACGCATAGGTTGTCCTCCATTGAAGCGCATTCTGGGCTTTCTCACCTCCATTGCCGCGCAACTCCTCTCTTTCTCTCCATATATAGCTATATCCTCCATTGAAGCGCATACTGTCGAGCTTTCTGACCTCCATTGAAGCGCATTTCAAGCTTTCCAACTCCATTGTAGCAGCTTCGAGGTAAGAAATATTTCGTGGTCTTCCTAGTCTATTGAATAGCTTCGCAATCTAGGGTTAGTCGTTGATTTAGGATTTTCTGTTCTTTGTGGTTTGCTTTGAGATTTTGGGTGGATTATGCAAAGAAGCTCATAAATTACAAACATTGACTTCCTCAACTTGTTAGCTAGGGTTTTTCATTGAAGCGCGCACGGCTCTACCTCCACCACAACGGCCTCCTTATCACGGCAGCAGGGCCTTCTTTTTCTAGGGTTTATCGTCAATTCCCCCCTTTTTCTTTGATCTTTTTTGTTCGATATTTTTTTATTATTGAAGATTTCTTGTGTACTATGTGTGTTAGTGTGTGATTGTTGTTTGTTTTTGTTTCTTTGAGATGTACTGGTACAACTGTTAGTGTGTGATGAAACATGATTGATTGAAATTATGTTGTTCAAGCTTGATGGTATGTCTCTTTTCTCAACATTGATTGAATTTATATGATGAATCAAGTGTTGTGTTTGGTATCTGAATCGTATTTGTTCTTCATGGTTTTCAGCGAAGAGCTGAGTTGAAGGGGAGGGTTAGATGAGCTTTGAAGCACTCGTAGTCAATTGAATTGCGCACTAAGGATGTAAGTGTGATATTGCACTTATGTGTATTTGATATTTGATCTTGTGGAAATTGTTGTCAAAATTAAAATCAGTGTACCTGTTACAATGTTGTATTGTTTGTTTGTTATATTATTAGTTTAATTAAAGCAGGGCCCGGGGGGGGGGGGGGGTAGTGTTGTGGTATACTTCCTCCACGGCTCTGCTCCTTTAACAACTTGTACGTTTTGCATGGAGATAAGGAGAGTAAAAAAATAGAGATTAGAGTGGGTGAGTGAGTGGATCCTGGATGCAGGGGTCCAACTCAAAGGAAATGTAGAGAGGACAACTTACAAATGTTAACTTGTTAGCTTGGAAGATGCTAGCTTGTTAGGAGGATAGGAGAGTAATTTCAAGGTATTGCAATGCGTGTACATATATATCAGTATATGCTGTATATATATAAATGCATAGCATTCTCTCTTCATTGACAAGCAATATAATGACATTACATACCAACTGCTACTTTTGTTGCTGAGAAAGAAGCTTGGCGTAGAAAAGCAATCCAAGAACGGGTGCAAGACTTCCGAGACTTCACTGGAATCCCCATTACAAGTCACATTGTCTCAATTATAGTGGGAAGTGAAGAGAATTCCTTGCTAGCCAGTCGGTATGTACTCCTTTGCCCTTCTATTTTCCATAGTTATAAGCAGTTTTGACTTTTCTTAAGCCTTGTCATCCTGCAGGTATGCTGAAATCTGGATTTCATGTCACTGCAATTAGACCACCAACAGTCCCTCCTAATTCTTGCAGGTTTTTCAGATTTCACTTCCGCCTTTTAGTTTCTTCCTACCATTCGATATACCGGGGTTAGATTTTCTGTTTGAGTTGGCTTACTCATATGTTGTGTTCTTTATTTGTAGACTGAGAATAACTTTGAGCGCTGCTAATCATGCTTCTTATGCGTTAATAGTTATTTTCAGAAGAATCCTTCACCTACTAGTTGTGATTTTGGGGGTGCTGCTCAGCTAGTCAACACTAATCCTAGTAAGTTTTCTTGCTTAAATAAGTTTTTTTTTCCATTTTAATTTTTTATGATTTTTGCATAATTTAAGCATGTTTAGTTATAGTGTGTCGATGCAATCAGTTTAGTTGCTAAAATTAGCATTTTGTTTTAGAGTAACATGTTAAACTCATAACTCGATTCTTTTTTTTTTCTTTTTTTTTTTGTGTTTTGTGTGTGTGTGCGTATCTCTTAGTGGCTTCTCATGTATTGTAAATCTTCATATTATTACATATCTGGGGTGTTTGAACATATTCAACATTGTGTGTGAGAGATGAAGAGAAAGGGGAAGAGAGGATTTTTTTTAGATCGTCTTCCTGTTGACATTGTTTCTACATGTATTTAAACCTTTCCCCCCCTTTTATTAACTGTATTTTACATGTGGTCAGTCAAGGGTCAAAATTAGTTCTCGAGGGAAGACACAATGCTGATACAGGATGATCTGAGCTGAGACTGAGAGGAAATGCTTAGGTAACAGACCAGCTTATTGTACTTTTATGTAAATTTCATAAAACTTTTATGAAAGTTGTAATGGTGATTTTGCTTTTTCAGGAGTAAAGGTCGCTGCACTCGACTAACGCTATGATCGAAATGCTTCTAATGCAAGCTTAATTAGTCTTAGTCTGCCTGAGAGCCTTTTGCATGTCCATGTTGTTTGTGCTTATGTAACATTGCATGTTATTTTTTTTTGATGAAAATTGTAATATTATAGCCTTTTATAATAAAAATATGTAACTTAATATATATGTTAGTGTTTTTATATCAATTTAAGTGAAAAAAATGCAAACAAAAAAAATTATTTTTTATTTTTTTGGGGTACTTTTAGCACCGGTTTTAGAACAGAACCGATGCTAAAAACTTTTTTTATAATTTTTTTGGGACTTTTGGCACCGGTTCAAATCAAGAACCGGTGCCTAAAGTAAGGTTTTCGCACCGATTTTTACTCAGAACCGGTGCGAAAAGTCCTTTTCCCACCGGTTTTAAACCGGTGCAAAATCTATGGGGTTTTAGCACCCTCCAAATCCAACCCGGTTCAAAACCGGTGCGAAATGGGGGGTTTGAACTGGTGGGGAATTCATATTTTCGCCTAGTGGTAGGAAATAGGCATCCTAGTAGTCATATAGGCCTTACTTGGGCCATTTTGGATCAAAATGCGTCCTACATCCCTTGAAGTGCTCTTTTCATGTGATTTCAAGCCTTAGCCTCCTATAACTAAGTAATATTGACATGTTATGGGAAAGGATGAGTTCAGTTGATAAGAAATGTAGAAAATAGGTGAAGTAGTAGTCAAATTATAAGCCTAACTAAGTAGCTTTTGCCTAAGTGCACTTGTAAATGTATTTTTACATGCATAACCTAAGTAATTACTTATAACATAATTTTTGTTTGTTCCAAGTTTTGCAAGGTACAAAAGGGAGGTCCGTGGACAAGCAAGGAACTTAATGAAGTTTGAAACATGTTGGCGTCTTTCATCACCTTTAATTTGTAAATGTCATTTCTGTTGGAATTTATATTCTGTTAACTTTTTAACTACATTATTAATTAGTATTGTTTGTAAATATGACACTTTTTTTTTTGAGGAATTGTAAATATATATGACCCTTCATTGTATTGCATTTAGGATTATTAATTAATATCTATGTATTATTTTTATTATTTCAATTTAGAAATTATTATTATTATTATTATTATTATTATTATTATTATTATTATTATTATTATTATTATTATTATTATTATTATTATTATTATTATTAATCTCAAAAACAGACAAAGTCATACAACCTACAATAAATTAGTGGGAAGCCGAGATACAAACTGGGCCCCCACTCCTCTAGCTATAGCAAAGCCTACCCTAGTGAAGATATGAGCTGCCGCACGAGCCCCAATGTCTTGCGTCGTCGAGAACCCCTGAACCCGCTTCAGCAACGCAACAACCTCCTTCTCTAATTCCCCAAGCGAAGAAAAGGAGAAGGGAATGAAACCATATCCAATGAGCCGACACCTAGCTTCATACTTCACCCGCTTCCGATGAGCCGCATCGGCCACAACCCGTCCAGGAACAAAGTCAGATAGCCCTGTCTGTGTCAAAGGAGAAGACCCTGTTAAGTCCATACAAACATCACGACCACGATCCCATGAATAAAGTAACACATCTGCAGGTCTGAGGGCCCCGTCGTTCCCTCCAGACAACCCAATGTCAACCTCCTTTCTTGCTGAAATCCCAGATCTGTAGCAAATATCAACAAGAGTATCCCGGACAACATTATGCCGATGTTTAATACCCACAATACCAGCACACGACATCGCGTGATCACTGAAAATATCCCTAGTAAAAACCCGAGAACAAGCAGAGCACGGCGTCGAGATAGAGAACAATGGAACACACATCCTATAGCACAACACACATTGGTAGGTCTTTGCATTCATCGTCTGAACCAACCCTGAAATAGGAACTTCCCAAAGCCAAGCAAAGGTGTGATCTCCCTGGTGCGATTTCCACAATGCTGATTGCCGAGGAGACAAAGAAAAAGCGGATTATGAAGAAACGGTAACCTTTGTGAAATATATATCTGCCAATTTCTTCATGAGTTTAGGGGCAGCGATCTCACTAGGATTACTCATAATGTCAGACTCCACTATTCCATTAAACAGACTCAACGCATCTCTAAAGGCTCGTCCCAGACCAACAATGCCAGCATGTCGTAAAGGCTGTGTCTGCAACCCTGCTGACTGTAACCGAGAAGCAAGAAAAGCATAATGACGAACATCACCTGCGGAATATACCCCAAGCCCTCCAAACGCAGACGGTAAGGTGGCAAGATTCCATTGCCAATCACCAAACCCAGGCCCCGAAGCAGTAACAATACGCTCCAAAGAAGAACGAAGAGCCCCGTCGAATGTGCGTTAAGCCGTCTCAAAAGCACTAGGAGGACAAGTACGTAATGCAAAGTAGAGTTTAGAAACTCCGGTACATGCCCTAAGTAACAATAACTCACACTGAGGATCATCAAGCATAGCAACCTTATCCATAAGCGCAATGGTCTTGGTCACCCTCTGCATCACAAGCTCACCACTAAAACCGGAATCGGAACTAGCAGGACTACCAAGCAGCTTAACACCACGCAAAGGTTGAGCAATTATGCGGAAAAACACCCACAAGCTTGCTTCGAGGGTCTTCTGTAGGCCAGAATACTTCAGTTTTTTCCACATTAAGGTGTAACCCAAAACAAGGTCCTTCCTCCATAATCAACTGCAGAACCTTCCCCACCACCAAAGTGTCACCAATAACACTGTCGTCATCCAAATACCACGACTGAAGACATAAGTCAAAAGCATCTCTGATTTTACAAACCAGGGGCTGTAAAACCAAAGCAAAAAGTAGAGGACCAAGGGGATCACCCTGTTGTACTCCTTGCACGACCATAAGGATTGGTCCCCATAATACAATCTGGCTGGATTAGAATAGCAGAATTCAACCCAACGCGAAATGCCCGGACAATGACGACGAACTTCACGCAGCATAACCGTACGATCAACAAGATTGAAGGCATTTTTAATTATATTTATTATTATAATAATATATTATAATAATGGTATAATTATTAATGCAGGATGTACAAGTTTTTTATTATTATTATTATTAGTAGTATTAATATTATTATTTATTGCCGAAAAAAACAAAACACAGTTAAAGGCATCGGTTCAGGCTTCAAACCGGTGCCAATTGTATTGAAAAAACAAAAGCGCGCCATGACCTTTTAGCACCGGTTAACCGATGCCAAAGAGGGTATTTTGCACCGCTTAACCGGTGCTAAATCTTTGAATTGCCACCGATCTTGAACCGGTGCGAAATCTTCAGAGATTTTGCATCCCTCAAATTTGGAATGGTTCAAAACAGGTGCGCAAATGGGGGTTTGAACCGGTGCTAAAGACCATTTTTCGCCTAGTGAAATACCCTGTCCACGTGGCCCAATCACGTGCTGATACATATCAGCATTAGAGGGGTTCTGAGAGAACTAATCCTCTGGCGACACGTGGCACTCTAACCTATGAAAGGGAAACTGATCCCCTCTCACTATAAATAGAGGAAAATCCTCATTTGTTGCACATTCATAAATACACACAAAAAACCCGAGCAATATTAATTGCAGAATTCTCTCGGAATTTGAGAGAAAAACTTTACATTCCACACTTTTATACATCCGGACACGTTCTAACTTGATCGTCGGAGGCGAAACTCCACCCAGCCGGAGTTTCTGTGGTTTTGCAGGTACAGATGGTCAACGCGCATTCTTGGAACTGTAACTCTCCCGAGGGACTCCAAATACCCCGAAACATTTGGTGCCGTCAGTGAGGAGAGTACTTCTGAGATGACATCAGAGACTGAACCGCCTGCTGAAGGCGAACGGCCTACGGCCGAAGCCGAGGTCCACACAGACCAAGATAGTGGTGACGACTTCAAAGTCGACACCTCTGTGGCCCTAGACGGGTCATTCAGAACAAGACGCACCTGTTCCAAGGAAACAAGGGAACGGGGCGAAGACAAAGCTGGTCCAAGAAACCCAACCGTCCAGCCGACTGGGCGACCCCAGGCGGCGGAAGGTTCTGCTCCCGTTACTAGAGACGGACTCATGAAATTCATGGCGAGTTTCAAAGGGGAGATCAAGGACCTGATAAACAAGTTAACTAGCACCAACAAGGTCAATCGACCAAGAAACCTTCTCCCTCATGGAAGAAGCACGATAAGGATCGTGTGCCTACTCCTCACCCTAAACCAAAGGGGGCGAATAGGCCCATGATCAACCTTTCAAAGCTCCGTTTCCCTGAATTAGGGAAAAGGAAGACCATCCGACAAGTTCAGCTGGATGGATCAAAAAGGTCTTACTCAGATGCCTGGATGTTAATCAAGTAGAAGAGAAGTCAGTAATTGTCTGAGTCGGCCTCAACGTCGACTTACTCAGACAGTTTCAAGAATACTTCAATGAAGTATTCAAAAACAAACTGAGAGAGTTAGTCACGCGGCTTGTCCGCACGTACTGGCCCTCAGATTATCCAGCCGGCTCCGTATGTGCCCCAACAGCCATACATTCCATATAGATCGCAATACATGCAACCGACCCTCTTTGGGGGTCAGGCGGCACATCAGGTCCAGCCCATGGAGTGGCAGCTTTGGCTGCTAAACCTTTAGGAACAGCCGTCGTCGTTCTCCATGGAGATAACCAAGGCGGCTCAGTCGGCCAAGGTTAAGAATGTGTTGGTTGGTACCTATGATGGTACCACCAACCCAGAAGACCACCTAATAGCTTACACCAACCTCATGTACTTACAGGGGTTGGATGACACCACCTGGTGTCGATGCTTCCCGATTACGTTGAAGGGCATAGCCCAACGATGGTTCGGCAATCTGCCAGCCGGGTGCATCAACAATTTCAAGACGCTTGCATACCTGTTCGCGTCCAACTTCTCTATGAACATCCCTGCCAAAAAGACAAGTCTCGACTTGGGGGCTATTCAGCAAGTAGAGAGAGAAGAACTAAGGTCCTATGTCAGGCAGTTCAATCTGATGAGAATTCAGATCCAGGGGCTGCCTGGCGAAGTAGCCTACACAGACTTCTTCAAGGGTCTGAAGGATGGGTCGACTTTTAAGTTTGACCTGGTCAGAAAGAAGGTTGCTACCCTCCAAGAAGCATTGATGGAAGCCGAAGCCTATATACAGGCG